TCTTCTTCTTCTTCTTCTTCTTCTTCTTCTTCTTCTGTTGCTGTTGCTGCTTCTTAGAGAGAGAGAGAGAGAGAGAGAGAGAGAGAGAGAGAGAGAGAGAGAGAGAGAGAGAGAGAAAGCAAGAGTGAGAGAGAGAGAGTAGTCGAGGCCCCCGTCGTCCGCGTGACCGACCTCGACCGACCACAGTCGCGGATCCGGGTCTGCAAGCCGCGGCCGATTGTGGCCTGGGACCGCCGGAGTGGCCTGGTGGGCTGCAGGGCGTGTCCTGGGCAGACCTCCGCCTCGCCCTCCCCGGTACGGAGCCTAAGATGTGCAAGCAAGCACCTATGTCCACTTTGGTGTACATGTGGAACAAGACGGACTGCAATTCGATGCCCGATACGAGGCAAAGATCAAACAACAGTACATAGAGGAGCAACGCATAGCCGAGGCTAGATCAGTGTCAGAGTACGGCACGTCGAAAAGTAAACGGGGGCGTGCAGACCGACAAAAGAAGACTATGGAGGGAGCTGTATTAGACGAGGTGGAGTTTTATGGGTGGAGGAGAGGCGAGAATCAGAGGTCAGGCGATTTGCTGGACAGGTGGGATGGGAGGTTGGGTCAAGCGCTCCACCTCCAGATTTGAGGGGGGAGGAGGTCGTGATGACTACGCGGGGCATGGGAGGTGGACACAACGATGTTGAGGATGCTGCGAGAGACAAAGGGAAGACAAAAGCCGATGAGAACGACGACGCCTCGCTTGCGCTGGGGCGCAAGAGACCTAGACAAACGATAATCAACGAGGTATACGAGGCAGACGCTCAACAACACGAGAGGGGCACTTTTTTGCAGTATGTGTATGATGCGAGGATTGCGTTCCATGTTTTTCGGACGAGCTCTTGGGGGAGGCACCGCAAAGCGGTGGCAGACTTGCCTTGCGGAGTACAGCTCGTGTATCCCTCATTCAAAGGAGATCGGGGGAAGTGGTGTTTTTTCTCAACGAGATAAAGTCGCGAGTATGCTCGTGCACGTTCGCACATCCTTCAGGGTGATTGGGGTTATCATCTTGACAGATAGGAAGTTTAGAGACTTGCGACCGATAATTAACTTCCTTGCTGCCGGCAAGCATGACGCACTTCTGTACGCCACAGTGTGTCGAGATGGTTCCATTCGTGAGACGGAGGCCCGACGGAGATTGTCCTAAGGAGGTGGAAGGTCATCTTTAGGTTCTTCCCTCCAAATGACGTGTTGGCAATCTGCACGGACTTTGCGACCAACTACACGTCTACAATGCTTCTTGCGAGAGACGTTGACCCGAAGCTGCATCGTATTACATGGCTCCCGTGCTCCACCCACGTCTGCAACTTGATGTTGTCGGGCATCGGGACCCGAGTAGACTGCATTGCCACAACCATTCTTCGTGGTAGGGTCTTGGTGCGATTTATCAAATTGCACGGTGGTACCCTTCACCTTTTCGGGTCGAAGAGCAAACGGAGATCGCTTGTTCAACCAGTGGAGACGTGATTGGTGTCAGTGTTTCTCATGCTCATTTATCTAAAGGAGCGGAGAAACTCCTTGGAGCTGATGTTGCACGCCGATGCTTAGGACAACATCCCGTGGGAGTCTGCGTTGGTCGAGCAGGCGTTATGAGTGCGGCAAACCACCCATGACAGAGAGTTTTGGCGGGATGTTGACTTTGCAATCCTGGTGACCGTCATGACCCCAATCCACCAGTTACTGAGGAGACTGGACATGGGCAGGATGATGATGTTGCTGGTTTAATCTTAGAGTCGGACGGTGGTGGATAGGTTGTGACTCTTGTGAGAGGTCGATGTCCTCTCCACAATGCTCGAGGGGTGCATCGATCAAGTCTTCTCCCTTCGACAACATATGCTGGAGTCGGCGCACGCTGCAGCGCATCTCCTTAACCTACGTAGGCGCTCTCTTCAATATTATGACGTGAGGGTGAGGAGTGCGGAGGACTTGGATGTCGTGCAGGAGTGCTATGACTTCTTCCTTGCTTAGACGGGGGTTGACCGGACAGGCGCTTGCTATTTGCGGTTGGAGGAGCAGATGAGGTCGTTTCACTCGGGTATGGGTCTTTTCACGACCGACCTTGCCACTAGGGACACGGAAGCGTGGGCATGCAGGGGGGACGAGGAGACACCTAGGTGTGCTGCTTGGTGGCAGAAGCACGGAGGCGCTTACCCCGGCCTTAATGAGATTGCGGTGCGTGTGTTGCACATGTGGACGTCTGCCTCTCTTGCAAAGAGGAACAGGGCAAAACATGAGCGTGTGTACACGACTGGGCGTAACACACTGGAGTTCGCAAAGCTCGCTGAGCTGGTTGAGATTGCCACCAATTTCAAACCGTTGGAGTGTTATGAGCAGTCTACCGGTTACGCTCTACCGTGGGGGGACTTGGATGCTCAAGAGGCGGTAGAGTCGGGGGCGGCGGATGGTGGTTCGACGCAGTCCATTGACAAGGAGCCTGAGACCAAGGTATGGGGAGCGTGATCCTAGGCGTCAGTGGCGGATGCAGCAGACAAGTCGCCTAGGCCACAAGGGTAATCGTTATCCTCGTGCTTTGGAGGTTGTGTTCGGTACGAGAGTCGTCGTGTTCCTCCCCTACGAGTAGGTGTTAGCGGAGGAGTGTGTGAATGAGGCGGTTGGGGCGGTGCGCGTCATGCGACGAGGCCATTACCTGCGATGAGGAGTGGGCCGGCCCCGAGGAGATTGTATGTCGTGCAGATAAGAGTCTAGAAAGACTCTACTACACTGGGTGGAGCGGCCGCTGAGGCACAGCCTCGCACTACGCTCATCAGAGCAAACGATGGCTCTGCACGGGAGGCGAGTGCGACGGCTGGAGGCACGGACCGCGACACGGGGCACGGCACGGGACTTGCCGACTTTGCCACCCATATTCGAGGAGGCTGATGAGGGTCTTCAGTGTTGACAGCACTGACTCCGAGTAGGAAAATGAGGAGGATGACTCTTTATTGCGTGCAGATGGTTTGCCGCAGCATGATGTCAGCGCACGATCTCAACCCCTCAGATAGTCGGACAGGCTGGTGAGCTGCGACAATAGAGGTGCACCTTCTCAGATTGATTGTTAGCAGCACCTAGAGGACATCCACACTGATGTGCCTGACGACCTTGAACCTGAGCAGTTCACTTTGGTCGGTAGATCTGCATCACACAATATTTCTTTAGACTTGCGGTCTAGGGACGTTATGGTGGGTGGAGAGGGTGTGTCCGTCAGCGGCAGCGACAGACGTCACCACGTTCGAGTGGGGGACATGGCCGACTACTATTTGAGCGACATGCAGAGGGAGGAGACTTAGGCGGAGCGTGATGCACAAATTAATGACGAGGAGGAGAGGCTTTTGGCGCAAATGGAGTGGGAAGGTAAGGTGGCTTATCTGGCGGAGGTGGAGCGCATGAGTCGGCTAGAGACCATCGGTGCGCGTGGCGTTGTTGAGGTTGTATTTGGAGAGGGCGTTGCCTCGCAGCATTCGGGTGGGGGGCATGTCCCACCAGATTCACCGACGTTGTCGCCTCCTCCCGCCGAGCGCCCTACTGTGCCACACCATGCCACTTTGTCGCCGTCCTCAACTGTGATGGGGGATGTGGGGCTTCCACCTCCACTTGCATTCCCTCCCCTCCCAAGCGGGACACCTGTATCACACGCTCCTCTTACCTTGGGCACAGGAGGAGGACCGGGCACGATCCACTTTGGGTTGGATGTTGTGCATGACGTTGAAGTCGTACTTATGGCACCCGGAGGTGCAGAGATGGAGCAGGGATTCAGTATCGAGCAAGATGATGCTAACGACCATAATGCGGGTCCAGAGGCAAGTGAGGGAGACGATGTCGGTGTAGTTGGCGGTGGACTGTCGAGCACTGCGCAGGAGGAGTTGGGCGGCACGCATGATTGCACAACTCCATATGTTCCCGATGGGATAGCCATCACCCCATCTGCGCTTATTATTGTTGAGAGGGTCGATGCACACACAGTGTTGCCCTTGGAGGATCAGGCTCCAGTACCGGACACGAGACGAGGCGATGAGGACGAGGCGGGAGGGCAGCTAACGCAGGGCGAGCCGCACACGGATCTTCACACGGTAGCCAACTCACAGGGGGTGGAGGGAGAGGGCGGGTGCGGAGGATCCGTTGATTGACACCTCTAGTGGTTTTCATGGATGTAGTGGTGTCAGGGATGCATCACCCGCAGCTCACGCACCTACCAGCCCTATATATTTTGGATCTCCCGGGAGCATGGAGCGTGAGGAGGTGGAGTCAGAGAGGATTAGAGCGGAGCGGTGGGCAGCTCATGGTCATATGTGTCCACCAGCGCTGCCCATGTCACCCGAACAGAGCGTTGCCCAACATCCCGCACCGGGGAGTGTTGCTGGGAGAGGATACATGTCTCTGTCCTTATCACCATCACGGCAGGATGTTCGCTAGTCTGACCCGCCATCGTTGGTCGAGTGTGTGAATAGTGGATGGGAGGCTTAGGAGAGATTGTTGTGGTGGAGGCACGACGCAGAGAGGAAAGACAAGGTAGATAGAGAGGCCCAAGAGGGAGGATAAGCTGATTGTGACAGTGGTGGTCGACCCGATATCGGTACCTCGTGTCCTATTTTGGAAGTTCCCCTTCCAGGAGGGGGCGAGAATTGCTCAGGCCAGCCGCTCCAGAGTTGGGAGAGACGGGCGGGCGTACATCTCCGACAAGGGGTTTTGCCAATGCGAGCGGAGCAAAGACGTCAGAATTCAATGAAGGATATGGAGGCTCGTATAACAACCCACCAGACAGAGATTGCAGCATTGGAGGAGGTTTTTGCATTGGCGAGGGTTGACGAGGTTTCTCGAATGTCGACACAGACACCGAGGAGGAGCCTATTGGCGTGGCCAGGCAAAGGGAGAAAAAGAGGCAAAAGGCTTCATCGACACGATCGACCACACACGGTCCACGATTGGCGGGGAGACGTGCGCGTCACGCTTGTGCGTGTGGTGGCCGGCAGTCATAGGAACATGTGCCTTACTTTGTTTCATGCATGTCTTTAGTTCAAGTTGACTCATTTTCTTTAGGTTTATTTGTACTCGCCATGACGTAGTGTGTAGAAAGATTGGCGCACCATGTTTACATTGGAGATAGTCGGAGACTCGGAGTACATTGGCAGTCAGTTTTTTTTGCCACAAGACGTACGAGATGCTTGGTTATATTGTTTGTTATAGCATGCATGTTGTTCGGTATTAGTAAATTCTGACATTTTGTAAACCTATTTGGTCACACCCACTCACAAGCAGGCTTTACATTATTTTTGTTTTCATGCACGTATTTTGAGAGGTCATCGTTCTAACAAAAATGTCTTTAGTTGAGGGTTGTTACATGTTTTTCGGACTGGACATGATTGCACTTTGTTTGTGCAGGTTTATTTATTATCTTTTGTTCACGTACAAATTGTGGAGAGGGTGTTATTGTGCTTGCCATGTGCGAATGTTCAAATTATATGTGAACTTTGTTTCTCATGTGTTGCAAAATATAGGGATGTTTGTTTCAGGCTCATACTCTTAACCTTGTTCATCAACCGAAGGTGGTTGCAAGCATGTTCTTACCGACTTTCATCTCCTTTGTCTGTGGATGTCTGCATACAGTGATGTAGCAAGGCGCTATCTTCTTTTCTATGGATGTTGGGTGCCTTGCAATTGACCTTGAAAAACCTCAAGTGGCAATGCGTCTATGGTTGTTGAACGCAATGAACAGGAACTCGTAGACAGAATTCAATGTAGCATAACCTCTTCTAACAACCATTTCGTCAAAACGGACATATCATATTTTTTGAACGAAATTTAAATTGAGTTTTTGGGCCGAAATCCGATCCAATTTTTTGGCTCCTAGGGGTCCGGCGTTCCCATAAAGTCCGACGTTCCCAGAACGCCAGACCCCCTAGATGTATGTGGTCTTAGCTTAAGGAGCCAAAAATTTGAACCGGATTTCGACCCAAAACCTCAATTTTAATTTTGTTAAAAAAATATAATATGCCCGTTTTGACGAAATGGTTGTTTCCTGCCTAAAAACGTCCACACCTTGGGTATTATAACCCCTCGGCCTCCTCTAATCATAGAGGTACAAATAACATGAAATAATGAGGGCCCGGGGGGTGGGCGTCAAGTGTCTTCTTTTGACGTCCTCGCCACCTCCACCTTCCGACACCCATTTACATTTCACGACCCCCCCCTTCCCCCCTGTCTCGCCCCTCCTTCGCACCCTTATCTGGCCCCACAGGCCTTAACAATCCCCCCCACCCTGTCTCTTATACACATCTAGATGTGTATAAG